TCATCAAAGACGTTAGAGTCTGCAGTTGAAGTAACCTTGGAGTTTACAAATAATTCGGGTAACAACAAAATATTCTTAGGCGCAGACAGTAGATGATAGTAGTGAGGCAAAGAATAGAGGAAACGGTGCCATCTGAGTTAGGGATTGGAGTTGAAAAGACAAGGCTACCTAGAAAAAGCTATAATAAGCCGTTGTTCCCCCGAGAAGAAAGATGTATTTCTACACCCTATGGTGTGCAGTTAAAGAACCAAAGGTAAGAGAGTAGCAACAAATCGGATTTGTGGTAACATGTTCTCTATGACGTTGGATGACCCATATAAACAAACAAAAAAAAGGCATCCTACAAAAACATAATGGTTTAACACATAAAAGGTATCGTCAAATGAAAATTTTAATCAACTGGATAAGAGGGTTTTCTCGACAACCACCAATACTCTTTTCGCAAATTAGAGGGGTACCATAGCACGATTAGAACAAGTCAAATAATAGTTTACTGCCAAAGTGAAACGTGCAGTGAGTAACATTTGAGCAACGCATTACATCTTTGCCTTTTTTTTGGAGGAAAAGAGAATGTTCACACAAACATGTAGGTAAACATAAATTTCCTAATTTACCAATTGTGTTTCGCTATTTTGTAATAACCAAATGGTTTACATCTAACCTTAAACTATTTGTCAATCCAAAAAGTAAACACTAACTTTTGTTTGGAAAAAGTTGTCTCAGTGAATCCCACCCTGTGCCTCCGTGATAAGTCATTCAGTTATGAAATCTCAGAGTGGTCAACAACATCACTAATTGTTTCACATAAACGTCATCACACGAAAACTCGACCACTCAACGACTCGCCCAAATAAACATCTGGCAAAATCAATTACTTCGGCCCCCAATTACGCCTCGTAATCGTGTTTACGTAACGCGTATTCTGTATTATTTGGTCAACGGTATAATTACTACGTCAGAGACTTACGAGTCTCGGGTCAGGCTTTATCAGTCGCCGTAAACATCGTCTCACGGTGATACGAGCTGTGTGAAAGCCGTGGAAGTAGATTTATCAGTACACAGTAACGTACGGCGCTCCGCCCCCGCTAAGTGAAAGAAATTGCGGCAAAAGTACCGCCGACCGCCCGGAGCGCGGGAAGTCGCGCTTCTTACTTGCGATTATTGCGGATTGTTGCCTATTGCCAAATTGGGTTTCACTTTTGCTTTCTTTGAATGGCCAGTCGTTAAGTTGAGTGAGCGTTGGATGATGCTGAAGAGAACCAAAGCCTTACAGTTACAGCACCACAACAACCATCAGTGGCCAACCTGAAACTTCACGAGCACGTCACGGTAGATCCGAAGATGAGGTTGAAATTGAAACAAAAGTAAACCTGAGATATTGGTTTTGGACCTGTAGAATGCCAATTGTATGACCGGTGTTTATGATTTGTTACCATACAAATTTATTTTTCTAACAAAGTGGCCTTCCTTGCACTGATTATAGTACGATAATTAGCTAATTGTTAGCTAATTTTGTTGCAAACGTCTATCTATAGTTATATCTTTTTATTTAAATAAATGTAAGATTTTTTATTACATTTGTGTTTTTACTAGCTACTCCTGTCTTAATACTTACTGGAATTCCAACGCAAAGGGTTTCCCATAGATGGGAACAATAGAGCACTTTTTGAGAAACGTATAGATAATTAAATCGTGAAATAGCCTCTGGATCAATGAAGTAAAGCGTACTGTAATGGTTTTATTTTGCTCTGCGATCATGAGTTAGTACTGTAGACTGGGTCAATTTCTACTGGGTGTATTTTTTACACGTTACTGAAGCTCAACGAGTCTGAAACTATACAAGTGTAGGATCCAACCTTGCCATCTTGAATAAGTTGAAATGTTTGATTACGTTTATGAATTGAGTGTTTGCCATTGTTCACAGGTTCAAATGATGAATCTTGTAAATGTTATGAACGTTTGACCTTTTTATGTTTTGAATGGTCGATTTTGTGTAGGCTACACGTTTAAATCTTTTATAATTTTCATAGATCGAATACTGCTTACAAATTTGAAATGTTTAACCTTATCAACAGTTTTGGATGATATTTGCAAGTCTTGATGTTAGAGCATGTTAACACGTGATATTTGTACTTCTGACCTAGTTACGGACGTAATACTTGTCTAGTAGCCACGTATCCGCAGTCAAGTAACCATGTTGTCACGCTATTCTCTGATGAGTCTACAGCACAGTACAATGTACACTGTAACTCTTTACCAACTACACGGTGCATTGATATTTTTATTGTCCTAGAACACAGAAACTGAAACACGAAATACGTTTTTACATGCCTAAACTAATGCCTACACGTTCTTGTTACACTAATGTTAGTAATGTTTGGAATGATAATTCAGAGTAACGGTCCATCTTGCCACCAAGGGTTACAGTATATGAATCTTTTATGCAACGAAGTACAGTGGACATGCCTTTCCATGTGTCAGTTTTAGAATCAATATAAACGCAGTTGAGTTGATTCACTATCATACCTTTGTGTATATTATAACTCATCGGGAATATCATAACCAATCCTCACGCATCTCCATTATATTTTCCAAAACAGGATACAAACTACTGATTTCCGTCAAAAAATCTCTTTTTACCTCTACATATTTAACCATGAACAAATCTTGACAAGCGTTGCAGCTACGTAGTGACACAAAGTTATACAATATCTATAAATCAAATAACACACGATCGTAATTTAAGCTAAATAAAATCAAGAGACGAAGACAAACTACATAGTATCGGGTTACAAAGCCAATCTACATGTAACGATCATTGAAAGAATCCTATAAAGCGGCTGTCAGGTGAAATGAGACTACACCCTCGTCCTTCGGCAAGATTTACTGATTGGCTTCGACAGTGAAAGTGGAAGTGTACAGTTCGACGTCTTCATCAAACCTCGCGGCAGTGTGTAGGAGACAAGGTCAAAGTACAAGTACAAGTGCAATAAACTCGTCATTAATTCAGACCTCAATAATCCGGACAACCAGTTGACTGCATTTTATAACAATGTAAATACAGCTAAATCAGGACTGTAAAAGTACGCAGTTTTGTTCACAGATTACAATGCTTCTGGAGTTTACTGTTCATTCAATTCTGGATATTCAAGATTTTAACTGTGACAGATGGTTAATTTTACACAAAGGGAAGTAGTACTCGACAATAACGACATCTGTCAGATAGTTCATGTGACATCAATGTGATGGCACAAAGGCGAAGGTTAAGTGAAAATACGAAGTGTTTTTTACTAGTCACTCCATAACTGGATGACACAAATCATACAACGGTAAAATACGTCTATTACTTAATAAATAAAAGATACTGTGTTAGCCAACACTTTTTTAAAAGTTGTTACAAGAAAGGATGGGATATACTAACCATCTTGAAGGTAGCTTTATCTTGTTCGTTTCGTTATTTAGGAACAATTAATAACTATTTATTTGGTTTAATTATTTAATTAATTATGATGGAGTAATTTATCTGAAATAAAAAATCGTTTTCTTTTCAGAGATTTCTGAACGTTGTGTTTTTTTTTTTTTGTTCCTGACGTTGATTTAATTGTAGCTCTGATTTGCAGGTGATAGTGTAATATCTGACGCTGGTCCCACAAGATAGATGTCGCCGGTGTAGGAGGGCTACGGACGTTACTAGGTGAACGTCCTGCGCGGTGCGGCGCGGCGTCTCCAGAGTGTTTTGTTATGTCAGCTAAGTGGCCGAGTCTAGTCGACCAGATCTGGTCAATAAATTCGCGACTAGACGTCTCTAGGCCTAGACCACTAGACCGCGAGGCGACAAAGTTGTCTTCATCCGTTACCAGTAATTATCAGACCCATTCAACACCGAGCGCGATCTTTCCCTTTTCCCGATTCCATTAACCTTTGCCGACCGATTCTATTGTACTTTTACTCTTTGAACGCTTCTCTCTGGGTCGCCACAGGTATAAATCTTCACCTCGGCTTTCAAACACCTTCCTTATACGAACGCCAATTATCGGCCGGTGCCACTTAGGCCGGTGCGATTTAACGCATTCTGATTATTCATTAGTTTACTGGTTTTCTCTATTCCAGTTTCCTACTTGTTCCCTTGTTGGCAACCCTATTCGGCAACAGTGTGGGACAGAAAGGGAATGCGGTGGTGAAGAGAGTGTGTAATCATGAAAAATTGCTTTGTGATCGAAAAAAAGTAACCAAAGTTTGAGTAGAACATCGTGGGGGCCACCAACTACTAGTAGCGCCAAACTCCTTCCAATTTAGCCACCGCCAAAAGTTCCATTTCGAAATAGTTTTCACGTTTGACCCCAACGAGCCAATTTATTTGACAAACTATTCAATCATAGACCGAGGTCGAGAAATCAATCGCAAATAGAAAAGTATTTGGAATCGCACTAAATTAGCCGGATATCTAGGTTACGTTCGCTAGAGACCAGAGACTGATGGTGATCAGGCGCACCTTACTTTCACCCACGCCGTTGCACCTCAAGTGGCGTAAGAGCAAGGCCAAGTTTAACTAAAACAGCCACGCTTCTGTCTCATGAGCGATTGTCTCATTCCTCCATTATGTAAACAAACGTTGCGAAAGTGAAAGTCCCGCAAATAATATCTCTATTGTACTAATCAATACGTGATCGCTGTCTGCTATGATTCCATTGTTTCCGGGGAGATTTCCGGCATTGCTAATTATAGACCGTCTTCTTTGGCTGACCCTTGATGTTCCCAAGCATATCAAACATCAGAAATTCATTTCCCTGTGTTTTTTTTTTCGAAATGTACATCTTGAGGTGGAAGGTGTCATATACAATTAACTTAAGTGCCTGCATAAGATGGTATCTTAAATAAAAAGATTTGAATTTGCAGATTGCAAAAAGGCTCCATAAAATTTAGAATGCATATTTATAGGACACAGAATCATAACAAGTACAACCCCGATGCTATTGAATACCTTAAAAGAAGTTACTTACCTCAAAAACCAGCGGCGCAGGGGATTCTACTTCTTCCAACTGAGGCTTCTCGTCTACCAGGGTTTCCTCTGAACAGCCTTTGTCCAATTTGCTGATTTCCTCCTCATCAGGACAATCTTGAGCAAGAATAAACGTTTCATTATCACTATCTTGTAAAGACTCTTCGCCTTTTATCTCCTCCGAGTCGTGATGATCTGTCCCGCCTTCGTTTCGTGAATCAACATTTTCAGTGGTCTGAACCGAGTCTTCAGCCACATTGACCACTTGAGGTTCATCGCAGACCGCCACAGAAGACACATTCTGTGTTTCTCTCACATCAACTCCGACTTTAACCACGGTCACATGGTTCAACACCTCTTCATCCGAGTGGTAATCATTAGCTACGTACCAAGATGTGGTGGACACATCGGAGTTGGCTCTCGAAGTACTTTTGCTTCTGGGAGCCACCGCGACGTGAGTTTCCCCGGCTTCTCCATTTCCGAAACTATTAGAAATACCCTTATACTTCTTCTGAATAAAACTCTTTACCCTTTTACTTCTGCTCAACGACTTGTTGGATCCGATTCGGTTGAAGTCGTCGATCTTGTTCAGCCCTTCGTCCGGGGTTTGTGCAAACTCTGGTCCTGCAGTCCACGCTCCTTCGGGGGAGAAACTGGCTTCTAGATCCTTGGTCCGGGCCTCTTGGCTGCGCTCGCTCGGCGTGACCTGCAACAAAAGTTGCACATGAGATCCCCTAGTCTGTAGTCTGTCATTAGGATAATATCAGTTCTGACTGCACCGGAGCACCGCAGCACGCACACACCGCGTGTTCGCTGCAGGCCGGGCTACGAGCTATGATAATGCTGTAATAGGTGCTGGTAAAATAAATAAAACTGACGTATTATCCTTATTTATACGGCCGACCTTTAATTTCTGTAATTGAGAACGGTACTTCTTGGGTGGTTTCCAGTAAGTGTGGACTCAAAAGTGGATTTTTAAGCTTAGATTAGAGGTTTACCATGTTAGATTTTTCAGTTGTTTTTTTTTTACTAAGAAGACCTTATATTTTTCAATTAATGAGGTTTAAATAGACTTAAAATATAACAAGGCATTTGGCAGTTGAAGTGCATTTTTACAAGTAATAGAATATTTTATATTTAATTCTAATTCCATAAACAAAATTAGCAAACCAAGCCACACACAAGACGCTCTCTAAAACGTGTCATCTCAATCTTAAAATGTTGTAAAAACCTTTGTGCTTAGAGAAAAAAACCCATAGAACAGCCTTGAAAACCCTGTGGAACCAAGTTCAACTTCTACAGGTTTACGGTTACTTCTACGCTACTTCTCTAAACAAACATCAATCAAACTACCTTTAAACGGCCAAAAACCATACACCAACAGCCTACTAACCAACACCTGCAAATTTTCACTGGGAAAACCACTAATCAACATGTTCACTAACGAAAAGTATCGAAGCAAATAAAACTGAAGATCAGAAGGAGGAGACCTTCAATTACGTACGATTAGGCTAAACCTCCGATTAAACCGAAAGTGAAAAGACCTTCGACTGCCTACGATGAGGCCTCTATTATCATGTTCAACTCATTTATTAATATCGAAACATCGAACGTGTAAATGGTAGTGAAAGTGGACGTGCACTGCATAATAAAAATAGAAAAAACTTTACCCGACCCTTCCTATTTCGGAGAAAGTAAGATGGCTGTATCATCTTCGGACAATCTGTTATATCACATGATCGACAAAGGTTCCAGTTCGACCACGTTTAACTAAAAGCTTTAACTAATTACTCAAGTAGTTACACAATCTCGATCGTGAGAATCGAACTATTTATGTGACTTCTTCAAAACACTTTACCGAACCCAGCGCTTTCTTTTCCTGGTCGAAACATGAACTACACGAATTCACTTTCAATCTCTACACGGTAGAGTAGTTACGAATTAAATTCGGCGTTTTTATCGCAAAGAAATGTTTAAGTCTTTGCCGATTTTGCGAGGTGAAATAATTAAATTTACACGACACACGGTTTAGTTGCATGCAATCGTACAAAAAATATCAAAATATGCTCAACTGTAATCTGTAATTTGATTTGAATTTCTTTTACAATTTGTAGCTAGTCAACATAAGATAAAGTAGTTATAAGACAATTATTGAAGCTCTTCCCTTACAATAAGCTTTCCAACCTCTCGGTACACCCTAGTGATGACCGTAACTGAACGTAATGAAAATGTTTTTCCATGGACATTAAATGTTCTGCAATTTTACTAACATCCGAGCGACCAAGTCTATTATTCCTTCTAAGTTATCTGTGCATGTGAAAATCTTATAGTTGGATCTAAACAAACTAGTTACAATTACAAAAATTTATCTAGGGTACTTCAGCAATAGAATTGATGTACACAAATATGTAGGTTAAGTGAAGAATACAGGAATTACTCTATACCAAGCCATATATTGTTATTTTTGGTAATAATGCATCTATTCTTGTTTGTATATTTATCCGTAATTGTGACAACATTGTTATTCTTACTCTTTTCGCAAGGAGTTGGTTCAAAACGTGGTCTTGTTATTATCGTATGGAATCAAACCAGCAACTGTCCAATTTGAAGGCAAGCACTCTTAACCATTCGGCTACTAGTAGCCTATTGTTGAAGAATATATTTAACAGTAGACACCACAGTCGATTAACAGTAGATTTAACAGTAGAGTCGCTTACACAATTATGACAGAGTAAATAGATTTCCTGATCAAATAAATCATGGTTTCACTATTACAATAAATTGCTGTTATTGCATAATCAAATAACCTAAATCACATTTACACTAACAGTTATCCATTTGTATATGACCATACATCATTTCCTAACACGTCCATGTTTCCCTGACTGTTTACTTAACCAAGGTAACCCATAAAGCTCACGTGACTGACAGGACATTACAAGCGGATGAAGGAGCAATAATTTAATACACATGTGTAATACAGTAATACAAGAGCATTGCGTCACTACGATTGTGCAAGTAAGTGAGGAAACGGTCTAATATTAACCCGGTAGCAGACACATCGAGTAGACATTTCAAGGCTACAGACGTCCATTCTATACAGCGTGAGCCATGTGTTACTACTTCTATGGAGTGTTAGCCTGATATTCGACTAAAATAACCTGTTACGTGTAGTCTGGCTTAATCGTCAATTTCAAACCTTAGTTAAGTCGTGCTGGTCACATAATGTGAAACCATGATGACTCAAAACATCAAACAAACAGTGCACTCCAGCACATATTATTACACATTATATAGCCTATGGCAAACTCTATCTACCAACCGGTAAACAACGTTGACTAGGTGAATATAAAAGATAATATGATGGTATAAAGGTTTAATTTTCTGTAATGAGTTCTTTAAGTACTATAACAATGAAGCCGATAAAAACCATAAGAATTCTTTACCTAATAAATAAAAAATTTTCATTTCTTTATTCGTGAATTCAACAAGTACAAAGATTCTTTCCAAAAATTAAGGAGCTTATTGATTTTCTTTTTTGACAGCTGTGTCAAGTTAGGAATCATCCAAACGCTGACTTTTCCAAGACGAACTGCCAGAATAATTCCCAATATCGTCGGATTTCTCCGGTAGATAACAATCAGCTGATCGGTCTACAATGGCAGAGAGTGAGAGAGAGAAAGAGCACAGACGTGCCGTACCGGTCTCTGTCCGGTCGACCGTATCAGAGGCCACTTTCATTAGTGAAAATACCTCGGGTTACGTATTGTCCGTCATGGCGTAGGTCATGGTTACCGGGAAAATGACTGGTAGGTCTGCTGACAGATGTTTGCCTTTGAGATTATTTGACTTGTGTGACGATATGTTTTTATTTTTACTACTGGGTACCTGAGCGAATATCGCACTATAGCCTAGTAATCATAAGACTTCTGGTGTGATACTGAGCAAATTTAGTAGTTTTTTTAGGGTTCAAAACTGTACCCCGTTTTCATTGCATTGTTTTGCTTGCGGGCGTTGGTAATTTAATAAATGGTACTGGCTATTTTTAGAACTATTTTATTCTAGTCATTAACAACATTATAATCTAATTCATACAACACTCATCCTTTAGTAATCTTCGCAATTAGATAAAGAGAATAGACGAGTGACTGAATGGGTTGTCCATAAGCATTGCTACATGATACGAGTGTTTAAAAGTACAAGTTTTAATAAACATAATATACACAACCCGGGGAATAGGCTCAAAACGATGAAAATTAAATATAATTTAACCGTTGTCTTGTTTCTATCTTATAGTAAAATTTACAATTTTCTTATTTTTTTTTACTTTCCCGTCTAAGCATGACAATATGATTGGCTCTAAAAGGGAGTGAAAATACACAACTAATTTTTCCTACAGCCACCTGACAAATTGTTGCATTTAGCCTACTTACTTTTGCCGCATGATTTTTTGCCGCACTCTTTTTTTGCGACACACCAGTATTCCAACCAAACAGCACAAAACAGCGTACTTTTATTATGCACGTAAACCGTGCAAAAAATAGGTTGGCAAAATACTAGCCTTCAGCTCGTGCGTAAACATTTCTCTCGTTTGCAGCAAAGTGCCACACTAGTTACACAAATAACTATTCTTAATGTTACACAAAATGGAGGATCATAACTGAGTTTAACAAAGGAATCCCAAAAATACTTTATTTCCTAATTGATTTGATTTCAAGCCGGTGTGACTAAATCAACCACTGAGCACAATGATAACTTTCATTCGAAGCCACTTTATTAAGTACCTAATAACCCGAGCCATGTACGGTGCGAGCAATAGATGATACAACTCGGAATCAGCTGGCGGTGACTTCACAAACAGCTGATTGGTGATGACTTCGCATGCGCGCTGCGGCAGCTGTTGTACGCATGCGCCGGTATCAACGCCGCCATTAATATCACAATTAACCCCGCGATTAAGTGGCTTTCGGCGCGCGAATCGAGTGACTTGCACGCCGCGACCGACTACAATGCAACGGTAACACTTTCCATCACGATCATTGGATTAGTGGAAAGCAAAAGTCGAAGGCGTGTACATGTGCATAGGAATAGGAGAGCGAAGTCGTGTTGGTGCATAAGTGTGAATGCCACCCTGGTTCCATAATTTAATTGTGTTGGATAAATCTCTAATCCTTCTGGATTGTAAAAGGGTTTTATAAAAGCTGAATACATTGGTCTAAGAATTAGAAAGATAATAATCATTGTATGTAGACACATTCCGTGGCTTAATACAATTCAACTAAAATAGGCTTAACTCAAATACAAAATTTAATTGTATTTTTATAGGGAGATTGGTTGCTTTTGAAATGTCGACTATTGTCGACCAATCCAAACTGTAGCCAATTCAACATTTTACGTTGGGTTTCGTCAAGTTTATTTACAGGACGTGTTATTGTTTACTACTTGATTCTTGTTACTTTGGTCAGTTTCGAAACTACTTTTAGCAAATAAAACTATATATTCTCTATAACTATTGATTGTTTAGAAAGATTAAAATATATCCGAAGAGTATAGTACAAATCGTAAAATAATTAAGAGTCTTATCTCAATATTTACAGTCAATCTAATCTTCGTAAATCAAATCAATTTTGTAATATATATTGTACCATTATTACCATTGTATGACCAATTGACACGGGAATTATACTTAACGGGCGTATTCCAACCCAAACGAATGTAATGTGTAATTAGTGTAGAATGAATCGTACATGTTGTGTAACTTGTTGACTAAGATCAGCTGTTTAGCCACGACCATTTATGAAAAGCCCATTGATCAAACACCACTAAATCTCAGTTTCGCACCAAATTTCTGACTTTTCCTACTATCTGACACTCAAAACGTACCATACCGTCTCTCCCACACACCAGCATGGAAACTTATTTAGTCAGGTGGGGCCTCACTGGAGCGTGTCGGGGCTCAGGGGCCCGTTTTATTAAATTATTCCGCGAGGGCCCCGGGCCCCGATAAACACAACTGCCATCATTGTTTACTCAGCACCCGCTATCCCACTATATCTCCACCACAGATAGGTTATTCGCCCCGGGCCTGTGTATCAGAACGACACAACGGCCGATGGAATTTTCACGCTTTGTGATTCTATACGAGGTGTGGTGTGATGTGGGGAGGATACAAGCCAATAGATTCAACGTTCTTCCTCATACATTTGTCCTCCTCATGGATCTAACGAGGGGAAGGTAAGGTCATTCAGCAGTATATTTAGGTGTTCACCAACAAATTCGGCAACAAATTCTCCTCTGTAGCTGATGATGACCGGTGGAACTGGTCGAAATCAATCGCAATTGTAACTTCTTCATACATTTTTACCGTATCGTAAACCTTAACATGACGGGAACATATTGTGCACTGTTGGATAAGGTAATTCATTATTATTTTAT